TCTGACGTTGAGAAAAGAGAGCAAAATTATAATTTATTTATGATCGTCCACCTGAGTTACTCCAAAATAATTGTGTAGACTTTTCTTTTTACACATGTTTTCATCTCTCTTTCTGGAATATATTTTTTTAAACAGTAATACTCGATTGGCACTCTCTTTTTCTTTTAAATTGTATAGGAATTAGGGTGTTTTGGAAAATGAATGTGCGAGCAACATTCAACTTTTTCGTTTTAGCTTTTTTTTTGTAGAGAATTTCGATCCTTAATAATTTCTCAACAGTAAAATTTTAATACACATGTGTATCGATACTAAAGTGCCCTACTGTTTTAGTAATTTAAGAACAAATACAAATCGTCGTTCTCTTCATTCTATCCCAGACTTTCTCTTTATTGATCTTTCTTTCTCTCTTTATTATTCCCACATCTCTCCGTCCCTATCTTTCTCTTTCTTTCTATCTATCTCTCTATATCTATCTATCTATCTATCTATCTATCTATCTATCTATCTATCTATCTATCTATCTATCTATCTATCTATCTATCTATCTATCTATCTGTCCTCCCTCCCTCCCTCCCTCCCTCCCTCCCTCCCTCTCTCTCCCTCCTCCCTTCAGTCTGACTGATCACATACACCCCCCCCCTCTCTACGACGGCCCCCTAGATGCCGTTTGAGAACATAGACCCAGAAGAGGTTACCATGACGACGCTCAAGTTTCTGAAGACGGCCATGACCTTGGAGAAAGGACTTCCTCCCAACGCAGTGGTCAACATGCTCAAGACTAAAGTGGACGCCATGAAGGACCGGGTAAATTTAATGCTTTTTCGAAACACTTTGTGGTCACTTGGCGCAATGATGCGCTGGTGAAAATTATCCGTTCCAGTCACCTGGCGCAATTCTGGGCCAGTGCGCCACGCCTGAAAAGTCCGTTGCAGTCACTCTCCTGGCTTGGTGACCAGATGGGGGTATTTTGTACCGCTGGCTGTGTGACTGCAACGTTTTTACGCTCTCATCGACACGATTTTTTAACATCTAGGGGGTGGGCTTTGACCCTACCTGTCATGAGGGCAAGCTCGGGCAGAGACGGATACATCCCAGCAGACAGACCGAGATGATGTCTCAACACGTCTGCTGGGACATTTCAGTGACACACGATCGACAGTTTATCAAGGACCCCCGAGCAAGTGTTGTGTTCCTGCGTGCTGTCGGCATCGCTGACTGCTTATCATCGTCACATCGCCAGAAGAGAGAGAGGGGGGAGGGAGAGGGAGAGAGAGAGGGGAGAGAGAGAGAGAGAGAGAGAGAGAGAGATCCGGCGTGTCAGCTCACTCCATCTGGCCCGCCGCCATGTCACCTTGTAGGAAAAGAAAACGTGGAAGATTATTATTATTATTATGATTATTATGATGATAATAATAATAATAATAATAATAATAAAAATAATAATAATAATAATAAATGACATATATACAGCGCTCAACCCCGATTAAAGTACACAGGCTCTGAGCGCTTTACAATACAGTACAACGTACAACAGTAACATAAAACGTCGTGTTCTTACAAAAGAAAGTTACTCCCAATATTCATCTTATCAATTTAAAAACAGAAACGACCTCAGCTGACATTTGAAAGAATCAAAAGATTTGATATTGTAACTATTATTATTATTATTATTATCATTATTATTATTATTATTATTATTATTATTATTATTATTATCATTATCAGCAGCAGCAGCATCATTATCACTATTGCTATTACTATAATTATTGTTATTATTATTAGTAGTATTATTATTATTATTATTATTATTATTATTATCATTATTATCATTATTATTATTATTATTATTAATATTATTGTTATTGTTATTATTACTATTATTATTATTATTATTATTATTAATATTATTATTATTATTATTATTATTATTATTATTATTATTA